GGCACTAATCTGGGTCACAGCATATCTCTTTCATCGTAGGATCATGAGCTGGAAAAGACCTTTAAAGGTCATCTAGTCCAAATCCCTGCAACGAACGTGAGCAGCTACAGCTGGATCAGGGTGCTCAGAACCCCTCCAGCCTGACCTTGGATGTCTCCAAGGATGGAGCGTCCACCACATCTCTGGGTGTACAAACAGCAGGGACTTATTCCAGAGGCATAACTTTTGTATTTCTGTTTGCTTTTTGCAAAATTTGTTTGCTTTTTCCAAGCAAACTTTTGTAGAAGAAACACAAGTTCCTGTGCAGAGTATGCAGTAAAACTCCGTGCTTGTTGACAAACCGCTTTAAAGTTTGGAGTATGGAAGCAGACCTAGAGCTGAAGGCTTATTAAAAGAATTCCCACACAACTTAAGAGGCCATGATGAAATAAGCACTTGGTAATTCTGCAAGCTCTGATGCTGTGACTGCTAAAAACCTCTTTTTAAATCTTTTTAGAACACAGGTGTGTTCATCTAGTAGAATTTCAGAGTAAAAAAAAAAAAAGCTATTCAAAATTATGCCCAATTTATGACCGCATCTAGATCACAGGATAGGGCATAACTAGAGAAATCCAGCATAGTTAGTTCCACTGTAGGGTTGAGAGGTATGGCAAAGTGCAGCTCAGATTAGGTGACTACAGAGTTTTTTATTTCCTCCATAAAACTTCTCAGTTTCTCCTCAGGACATTGGCCTGCCTGCCAGGGCTGCATCCAGTGACCTTGGTTCAGGGTATGTTCTCACCTCCCAGCTGCACCACACAGCCCCTCCAGCCGCCCCTGCCATCCTGCCTGGAGCTGAGCAGGACACGGAGACCTCTAAAGGCCAGAGCAGACTGAGAGCAAGGGTTCCTCACACTGCAGAAACTCTGAGAGTTGGCAGAACAGCAGCTGCAGGAGCCAGCATTGGCTGCGACCAAGCCTGTCTCCTCTTCTGCTCTGCATCTTGGTGCCCAGGTGGCTTTTGTGTTGCTTTTGCTATTGGCCAGGCAGACATGGTAGACAGAAATGCTTTTTTTTTTTCTTTCTTTCCCTTTGGGCTGTAGATATTCTAAGCCAATAATCATTATGCAAACAAGACAGAGTAATTATCTCATTAAACATACTGTCAATACGCTGCAGCTCTGCTGTATTCCTCACCTTGAATCAGGCTCTGTGGAGAGAGGCCTTTCAGAACTGACTTCCAGGACTTCTGAAAGAGGTCATTTGTCCAACTAATTTGTCAAAGGTCTATTTAAGGTACAGTGCTTCTCCTCTTTCCTAATAACTCATGAAAACTCCTGTCCCTGAGAAGCTCTAATGTGCTTTCCTCTGTTTTGGGGAATCCCCAGGCCCTTCCTTCTCAACTGAGTTGGGAAAACACCATTATAAATACAAATGTGTGTGTCAATATGAAGAGAAGAGCATTTGGTGACTGGCAGGGACAAGAGAATGTCATGCAGACCTTTGCTCTTCCAACTCCTAAAAATAAGTTCAGTTGTAGTTTACTCTTGTTGTTAAAAGCATTGATAGGCACATTTAATGGAAGACAAATATTTTTATACTTGAGGCTTTGTGAGGCTTGGCAAGATTAACACTGAAAAGAAAAGAGGCCAGAAGTAGTTCATAAATTTTAAAAAATCCATTCTTCAACAGCTCATTGGGAACAATTTATATTTTTTGTTTGCATCATAACTATTTTCGAGTTACTCTGTAAGAAAACTGAAGAGTCTTTTCCTTCACGTTGGAAGCAGATGTCATGTATTTATATCCAGAGGCTGAGGGACTACTGTGTTTCATTATGATTCCCTTCTGATCCTTGCAAAATTAAATAGTTGATGTAGTATTTAAAGGCACATCTTCAAAATGCCATTAAAGCACCTGATTTGTATTCTTTGCTAATAAAATTATAATAGTTTCCACACAGTGTAATAGAGCAGAATTATCAGGCTGTGTCTACACTACAGTTTACTAGTGGATATTAATTAATTTATTTTGCCTGATAGTTTTTTTAGCTGGTTCTGATCATTGCTCAAACTATTGTGCCAGTACAACTGAGGGTGAAGATGCTGGGCATCAGACTGGGAAGGAGTCCCAGGGAGAAGGGAAAGTGGGAAGTGTGATACACTGAAAACACTGTAGTCAAATACACCTTGTGATACATGCATGTCTCACTAGATATTTGGGTTTTCCACATAATGTCTTGGTCATTCATTGTTACCAGGTCTCATAAGCGCTTCTGCTTGACCACCACCTGAACCTTCCATGACTGTGTGACTGATTAGTAAGGTCCAAGTGCCATAACTTGGGCTCCTGTCATATTGCGTAACTTGTTATATTTCTAGATCGTATATGGACTGACAATCAGCCTTGGCAGTGTGTAACGAAAACTCAGTCAAGAGACAGCAAGGGTTAGCTGTGGGTGCCTCCTTCTGACTCTGCAGCTGGGTTGTGCTCCAAGGCAGTGCAAACAGAGCTCTGCCCAGTGAGTTCAATATGCTGCGGCAGGATCTAATGTTATTAGCTCTGAAACAATGTCTTTAAGACAGACTTAGTTTTGGCTTTTCTTATTTTTTGTTTGCTTTGTCTTTCCTTTTTTTTTTTTTTTTTTTTTTTTTTAATGGCAGGTTTATGGTGGATCTATCAGGTCTCAGTGGAAGCGTTTTCAAATTCTGCAATGCTGGTTGTATTTTCTTTTAATGCCTGCAGGCGCTGTTATCAATATTGGCAGTTAAAAGCTTTGTGAAAACTTTTATCCTTATACAAGCAGTAAAAACATTTATTAAGTGAAGGAATTTCTTAGAATACTTATTTACTTATATTTACAGCTCTTGGTTTATGAGATAATGCAGCCTTTAAACAGTTAGTTGGTGTTGTCACATTTTGTCATCTGCCAAATAATTTGACAAATTTGCCATAAACTGCCTGACATTTTCACTTAAAAGAGTTCGTTTTCTTCATTCTTTCCTGCCAGACAGGTCATGTATCTTTTCAGGCCTGAAGAATTTCTATCAGCTATTTAAATGCAAGGCCACAAAGACAAAGCCAGACTCAAGCTGCAACGAGCTGAACCGGCGTCATTCAGGACCAAAGTAGTTGCAGCACATAATTAAACAGTAACTGTGCCCTATTCCAGAGATGCTAGAGCTTGCAGTGTAAATTTTCTTACTGATGAAAAGGGCTTTAAATGCAGTTATCGGGATGGTGATGAGAAAATTACTCTAAACAACACCTAAAAACTTTGTTTTTGCTACTTACTGAACATGGCTAAAGATGGCTGCTGCCAGTTCCCTGCTGTCGAGGGAAGAGGATGAGTCCCAGCTTCCCAGCTCTCGGTGACGGCAGGAAAAGAAAGGGCAGAGCTGGGCATCGCTCTCCCCTTGGCGCTAATGGCAGCTGCCTTTGCTTGTGCTCCCTGCGGCTGGGCATGGAGCCAAGGGAATTATGTACGGCCATGGCTGTGCACTGAAAGGAGGAGGAGGAGGTAGAGTAACCTTTCCCAAGGCTTCTCGCACCTCTCTCTGGGGTCATCAGCAGAAAGTTTCTCTTCGCCTTGTAGCGAGGTGTGAAGAGCCCTCCCGGGCTCAATTTAGTAAAATGAGAGAGGAGAGGTGCTGTTAGCGCAGTGCTAGGGCAGTAAGGGCGGTCTGGCATGGAGCAGCCCTGTTGGCCCTGTGACAAGTGGTTGGTGGGCCCAGCTGAGCAGCAGGAGCAGTGAAAGCCTCAGCACTGGGTTCCCAGCAGGTTTTGGGGTCAACAGCCTCACTGCAGAGCTTTTCTTGGTAGAAGTTGCAGTGTCGGTAAAAGTGATTTTTATATGAGACCAGGTAAGGAAAAAAAAAAAAAAAAAAAAAAACCTGTAAAAACACATGAGTTTTTTTGGCTGATTTTTGGGGAAGTGTGGGTATTTGCCATGCCTCAAAGACTAAGCTGCAGTGAAGAGGCTGCGTAGTCACGAGACAGAGGGTGCTTTAATGGCATGATGTGCTCGTGCTGACAGCGGTGTGCTCTGCTGCAGGTGTGCGGGCAAACAAACAGGGCAGGGAAGGGCCTGGAGCAGCTGTGGCCTCTCTTGGGCTGCCTGGGCACTGGGAGTGTGCAGAACAGCAGTGCCTGCACCTGGTGTCAGGGCCTGGAGCACTGCCCTGAGGAGTTCTCAGCGGGCCCTTTCTGCATTCCTGAAATGAAGCGTTACCAACTGCTGCCTTCTGTAAAACACACAGGCAGCTCTCGCTGGGCTCCTGCCTTCCCTTCGGGCCTGTTGCTGTGGCTTTCCCTGGCTGGCAGCTCCATGCAGGTAGCCTGGCGGCCTTGGGGGCGGCTTATGGAAAACACTCTGCATCCATTTCCATCCCTTTGAAGGTATTTCTGGCTGCAGCAATTTGCTGAAGGGAGGCCTGTTTCCCCTTATTTCTTGTGTATCCCTTTGCTCAGTGGGGAGGTTTCCTGTTGTAAGCTGCGGGGCTACCATAGCTTCCCACCTGCCCTTTGCTTTTCTTGCTTTGACCACAGTGAGTTCTGCCCTTGAAAAAGTAGTCTTACAGAAGGATCAGTTTATCATGGTAGCATCCAGGAATTTGAAGCAAACACACTAGGACTTGTATTTTATGCTTTTGTCCAAGGAAGGTGTGACTTTTGCCCTGAAGATCTGTAACAGTAAATTCTGCTGAGCCTGGTGCATCCTCTAAAATCATCAGGGGGTGTATGTTATAACTTCCAGAAGGAGGAACAGCAGAGTCAAATCGATGTAATGCTGCACTTTGTCTGACTGGGGGGAATAAATAGGAAGTAAGAAAAGAGGGAGGATGGGAGCAGCTGAGGACTTACAAAGGTTTCAGTAGCACAAGGGCTCCTGACTTGGTACCTTGGTCTCGTACCTGGAAATGATCTCGGTAGAGCCAAAGAATCCAGCAGCACAAAGGAGGTTGTAAGACTGGATTTCAGTGAGCACAGTTTGAGCCCCACTGTAACAAAAATCCGTAGGAATGATTTACATGTGCGAACCACCCTCACAAGAGCACTGGAAATGTTCAGGTACATAAGTCTGCCAGACAAAGACATAGAAATCAATGCAGTTGGTGTGTTTCAGTTGCTCACGAGGCAGTAATTATTTTTTTAATACATCAAGTGATGGGGAGGGGAGAGAAAATCGTAAAGACCTTTGTTGTATACACGGAAGTGTTTTGGCCTCTGTTGTTGTAAAAACAAAAACAAAACAAAAAACAAACACAGAAAACACACAAGAAAAAAATCCCAACTAAAAGAGCCGGCAAAAAGCAACAGCTGGGTGTGAAAGCTGAAAAGATTTTCTTGCTAAAGAACCTCCATCTGAGCTTGTTTTAACAGAAATGCTACAGATGACCATCTGTTGAAAAACAGCGCTCTATTTAGTTTAATGTGTTGGAAGTTTATTTTCTATGCAAAGACAAACACCAAAAAGAGCAACTTTGTTGTTTTGCAGAGAGTTGGATTGAACGGTGTCTCAATGAAAGTGAAAACAAACGCTATTCCAATCACACCTCTCTGGGGAACGTTTCTAATGATGAAAGTAAGTAAATTTTCATGAATTCGGAGTGCATGTTAAAATGTCTAAGTGCTAATTTCCTTCTATTACATATATGTATCTCCTCATAGTATTTTTGGTACTCAGTAGTTTGAAGAGTTGGCTCTCTGACACGTCCAAAAGTTTTATCGGTGTTTTTGCTGGAACACTGGTTACTTCCCATTGTTTAAAAGAACTAATACCATCTATGAGTTAAAACATCCAGAAGAATGTGTGTGTCCCTGAATAGAGGTTGGGTGACCTCTAAAATGCACTGTTAGCAGTTGCTCATGACTAAAAGTATCTGTTTTGCTTTTCACTGGTGAACACCAGGCAGTTGAAATACAGGAAAAAAAATAATTGTTGTTCAATACTGAGTCACACAAATAAATTCTTTAAGAAGTAAAAAATCGTCAGATTAAAAAAAATCATATATTGAATCATGGTATTGCTTCCCTTTAGTCATTGAGAGTAAACAATTATAAATGTAGGTAATTTCACACTAGCTATTTTTTCTCATTTCTCCTACTTAAAGTAATTTTAGCTCTTGATTTATTTTTTTTTTTAACAAGAGCAGGTAATTATAAGTACCTCCAAATACCTCAAAATAACCTTTTTTTTTCTATTTAAAATTGTAATACAAATTTTAGTTTACCATCTTGTTTTTGTTTGATTTCTATTTTACTTACGTTGTGTGAAGAAAAATACTCTTAGGGTCATTTTTCATTTCTATACTTTCAGCATTACTTGGTTACAAGATATTAATGCAAAATGAATTCTTCCATTCAGACAGACACAATTTTGTATAGACATAAGACATAAAGACATAAGTTTTGAAACTGAATTTTTAAATACATCTTAATGCTGATCATCCATTTTTGCATTTATTTTTTTTCATTTTAAGAAAACTGCTCTTTGGTATCACTGTAGAATTACATGCCTTGCAGCACAAAGCTTCAGCTGATCACAGAATTTTCTATGTTGGGGTCTTGCGCTTATTTGCCCAGGAGTCTCTTTTGAAGAGATATCTCTTCTGAGGAAGAAAGAAGGTGTTAGAAACATGATTCCCATACTAAGAACAGCAGAAGAGAATCCTCAAAGATAATAACACTTGGCAGGTTTGGGTTTTGAGGTGTTCTGTTTTTATTTGACTAAATAAGAAATTAGCAAATGGTACTGAAAAAAATAAAACATATGGTTGTTAATTTGCATTTTATGACAACCTTTGTGCAACTTATTACATTCATTTTACTCTATTGGATGTTTCTAAGAATGTGACAGAAATAATCTGTAATGACTGAGATGTGACTTCTGATTCTGAATGGAGTCTGAATGCATGATTTGATTCTATTGACTTCAGTGGGCTTTTCCTTAGACTTGCAGTATCAGAGTAATAAATTAATACCATTAGCTATATAATAAACAAACAAACAAAAAAAACCCAAAAACCAAACCAACACAGTTTATTTTATGAGTTTCCTTCTATACTCTTTTTTTAGATTTGTTACTCTACATAGGTTGTAGCAAAACTAGCAGCAGTTTGTTATATGTGCTTATGGCTTGAATGTGTGCACAGAAAAACTTTCACGTCCCCAGAGTCAGTAGGTGAACCTACTGTCGTGGTTAAGAGCAGGTATTTCACAGAGCAGCACTGAGGAGACAGGATGGTTGTTCATTCTGTCTTCTGGTGCTGGAATTAAGGGAAAAGTAATGAAAACACGTGGCAGCAAATGTAAAACTGATAAATACGTAACTGAATGTATCCCACACTTTGTGTGCAGAATGCTTTGTCACAGTACATGATGGAAACTCAAATGAGAACGAAAGTGTTCGTTTAATCCTGCTTCCTTTTTATAACCAGTTCATCCAGCTGTTTCCATTGTACAAATACTGACATTTTTGCAGTGTAGATCAGAGAATTAATTCACCTGAAAAGCCATCCTTGTTTTTGTGTGCACGAAAGAGAGGAGTAAGAGAAGAGGAGGAAAGAAAAATAAGCCATTTGCCTAGCAACAAAAAGACCAATAATCTATGAAATCTAGAAAAAAGTAGGTGTTTCCCCTTAGGAAGAATCATATCATATTATGTGGTCCTTCCTAGTCTTTGGGTTTTCCTAACAGTGCCCAAGAAGTTTCCAAAGCATCATGTCCATCTTTGTCCAGCTTCTGTCATACACTTTCAAGCAGCAGGAGACAACATATTTTGGGGAAACCTACATGACTTTTGAATTTCTCAGAATGGTGGTCAAGTTGCTGTGGTCAGCAGATCTCCTGTTTTCATCCACAGCCAAAATAAGGCATCATTCATCTTCCTCTTGATTTATTGGTGATGTTGAATTTGTTTGTTTTCCTAAATACATCAGGTAGTTTTTGGTTGGATGCTAGTAGAGCAAATGTGGCTTTGTTTTTCTGTTAATGTTTTTTTGGAGGGTGGATATGTGCATCCATTAAGGAAGACTGTGAAGATTTCCACTGATTTCTTACTCAGTATCAGCCTGCTTTTATGACTTATTTTTTCTTGCATGTTTTTACAGTTCATAGGGTTTTAGGACAAGTGATAGTTTCACTCTAACCTTTTCTACTGTTGGAGCACATGACAGAACTGTACATTGGGCCACAGAAGTCCTTTACACTCTTCCATTTTCCTCCCGGTCTCCAGGTCCGTTGAACCTGTATGACGTTGTAAAGCAATGCTCACTGCTGCTTTTGAGTGCTTCTTACCCTCTTGGGACCTTTTATGTGTTTTCCCAAAACAAAGCATTTGCACTCTAATATAAAAATTATAGGATAATTTTACTTCAGTTTCCAGTTTTCTAAGTATTTCTCCTTTCACCACTTCCACATGCTAGTCAAAAGATCAACAGGAAGATGGAATGGTACGATCTCATATCTAAAATTGGAAAGAAAAAAACATTTTCTGAATCTGCTCAAGCCAGATTCTCCAAAATTGAAATAGGGGTATGAAAGAATACAATTTAAGGATTATGAAAGTTTCAACTTCAGTTTTCTGTGCAAGGAGTCATGATGTTATGTGATGAAGTGGAAGGGCTCCTTGTCCAAATTATTTTGTATATTTTGGAATATGAATGCGTAGACAATTCAGAAAAGATAAAAGATTCATGCTACTTTTTCCTCTTCAAAAGGAGTGTTTAAAATCAGTGTTGAAACTGCTTAAAATGGAAATCTTATCAAATAGTTTTGCTTTTTTGTTTGTTTGCTTGAACTAACCTACCTTTCCTTTGGTTGAAAAACATTCACTTAAAAGAAGAGCTACTTGATTTGTTGACATTTTCTTTGAGGAAAAATTCTTGATTTCCCAGTCATGCTTATTGAATTGGATCTACACTTCTATGTTGCTCAGGTAGTTTAAAAGGAATCACATTACTTTTTAAAGCACAGAGTTCATGCTAACAAGGCTGTATCTTGCTTACATTTACATGGAAGTATGAGGTTAAGCAGCTTCTTACCATCCCTTAATTCATGTTAGCAAAGGGCAAATCACTTTTGAGAACAGTCAGAACTTGGGCTGCTGAGGCTAGAGGGGCAGGGGCTATTCATCTGAAAAATGTGGAGGTGTGTGAACTATGTGAAGGATTTTATTCAGATAAAGCTACTAAAACTGTCTTAGCTTCGTGGAGGTTCTTTGAGACAAGTACAAGCAGCCCGGGAAAGTACACGACTCTTCTGTTAACCTTTGCAGTGCAAGGAAGAGCTCTAATTCCACTGTAGTTATGACAGAGATGAACATCAACATTAGTTTGCTGATGTCTTTAAGTCCTTCAGCATTTGTCAGAGAAGAACTGTGATGTCTGTTCTTTGACAGTGTCTTGAAACAAGACTTCTTTTCCATGTCATTACTTCTCTTCTTTACAAAATGGATTAGATTTTTAAAGTATTTAACTTTAAAGGTTCCTTTCAGCACACAGTGGTTCTGTGAGGGGTTCTGATAAAATGACAGGAAGAAAAAGGAAAAGGAAAAGAAAAAGAAAAGAAAAAGGGAGAACAGTATTCTTTATATCTTTGATGCAGTACAAACAATTCGGGGACCAGGCCTGAGTCAAGACTTACACAAAACATTCCCTGCTCAGTAGGGAAACCATTAGGTGCCCTGCTACCAAATAAAGTATAAGGAATAGGGATAGCTATTGTTCTGCTTGTAAATTATCGAATGAGATTATATGGTTGTACAACACTCTTATATTTAATACTGAATGATTATATTTCTAGATCTCATCCATTCTTACCCTATGTACAACTCTATCCATCTATTTAATAAAAATAAATATTTTGTCCAAAATCTAGTGAAAATGAGAAACATTTTAGCTGATATCTGGCCCATAGGCAGAAAATGAATAAAAGTTCTATATTATTTTGCAGAGGCTTGATTCTGGGGAAGATATGGGAAAGATTATGAATATTTTAATTGTGTTGAAAATGCAGTTGCTCATGCGCTAAATATTTTGATGGAAAGCGAGTCTCAGAGAAGTTTTGCAAAGAAGTTCAAAGTACATTGTTCTCCTACTTGTTACAGCCAATTAGTGGAGGGTGCTGAAGCATCTTGAAGAATCACTGGGAAACATACACAGCTGAGAAAAGGGATTTAAACTGTAGTTTGTGATCTTACCATTAGCTTTTGTGGTTAAAACGCATCCTTCTATGAGAGGAACTGATTGACTATGGATGGCTTGGAGAGTGTCTGAGGGCAGGTTAGGTAAAACACCTGTTCACGGGTCTTAATGTGATTGTGAAACAGCCAAAGGATGGGTAGAAGGGATGCGGAGACCAATTATTAATTTGGATATTGGTTTGATGTGTGATAGAGTGCCACATATGCAGGGGAAGATCAAATCTCATTAGTGTAAGTGATAGACCTTTGCATATTAACCCCCTTAAATCACTAAATATAATCAGAAGTTCTGTTTGGAGTGGGGAGAAGGTTGGTGGGGGAACTGTAACACCTGTTGGCTTCACAGACAGAGGCAGTTTAGGATTACTGCATCTTAGTTACATCAGTGGTTACTGAGATCAGTGGCACCCAGCCTTTTCAGTTTGTACCTCCCTAGCAATTTCCAATGAAGTTTAAGCCACAGTGTGAACTTAAAGCAGTGTGTAAGGGTTTGATACTGACAGAGGAAAAGGTGATTAAGAAAACAGACGACTTTCAACTGGGAAGCAATAACCTTATTCTGAATAAGAAGGTGGCAGGGCTGAGACGGAGCCCCTGCACATTGCCAGTGCACAGGAGCAGCAGCTTCAATTATTGTATCTCACTGTGATGTCTCTCATGCACTGTCAAAGGCCAGAAAATTGCACAGTCAACAGGAAGGTGCTGTGGTGCTGCTCTTACAGTGACTGGTGGCAAACTGGTGACCTCCCATGCTCGCATACCCATCCCCATCCCTGTTTGCCAGGCTCGCTCGCTCCCATGGCTGCCAGCTTTATTTCCTTAACAAAACCAGGGCAACTCCCCCATCTCACAAGCAGTTTACAGCCCACAATAAATTGCTGAGACTAACTGTGGGTATGGCCCCAACTATTTTATCCATCTCTGGTTTAAGTCTGTGCTGCACTGCTCTGTCTCCCAAAGTCCAGGCTGTGTTCATGCAACCTGCAGTGGCCGCTCGGCATTCAGGCCCTGTGTGCCCAAGGTTTGTTGCATGCGGACCATTTGTTTAGGAAAAACAAACGAAAAACACAATTTAAAACTGATTTGAAATGTGTATGTTGGTCCTTCGGGCTGAATAAAAGCGGGCCAAGAAAGGCAAGGAAGGAGTGTGCGGGCCAATAATTAGAGGCCCATTGTCATGCAGATGTAGAAGAGGGGCTGCCCCAGTGTCTGTGGATAACTGTAATTTTGGATTTTCTTGATGTTCAGGGCCCGGCCTCCCTGGCTAGATGATGTTCAGTTAACACTGAATGTCATGGAAGAAGCACTGTGATGTGAGGGGCGGAGGTAGCGTGTTCTGAAGCGGGGTTTTATTTCTGTGTGCCCATTGTTGGCATTGCACAATAGACCTCCCAAATGGGTCTGGTACTCTGAGGAGATATTCTGCCTGCCTTAAAGTTCGACATCCTAAAAGCTGGCTTATGTAATTTCTAAAAATTAATTGCACAAAGAAATGATTCTAGCAATGCAGTGTAACAATACAGTGGTTTTACCTCATTTAGGTATCTAAGCTTTCTACTCTTTGTGCATTCGTTGGGGACAAAGTTGTAAAAATAGCCAACTGGACCTGAAGCAACAGTGCTTTCCATAGAACAGCCTTCTGGAGAAGCTGGTTGTGCTTCAGACTCTCAATTAGGAAGCTTCATACACTTTGCAAATCACGGTTTAATAGGAATTATTCTATATATACTTCTATTCTTTTTTCTTAAAAGAACTAATGTGAACTGGCAAAAAAGCCAATCTTTTAAAACAGTTCTACTTTCAATGTCTTTATTCATCTTTTATCAAGCTTTTTGGAAAGCCAGCAAATCAAAGAGTTAACAGAGAGTAAATAGAGAATACTATCATCAGAAAATTACCTGAAAAGAAATAAACTGTATTACAGAATGTTTTTATCTTCAATTTTAATTAAGCTTTGTAAATTTACAAACACTTAGTGTTTGTCATACGTCAGGATCACAACAGTAGAAGAAAACCATAAGGTTAAATGCCTCATCTAATTGAAGGATAAAGAAAAAGCAGATTGGATTAGGCAGCTGTTCCATTAAAGGTGGTGAAAGTGTTTTTTTGTATTTGGACACGTTGTTAGAGATTCAAGATTCTCTCTTTTTTATATACACTTATGCTTTCCAGTGTCATCATGTCTACACAACACCCCACTCCCGCTGTGAGAGAAGTTTGCAAGCTTTGTTGTCTTAAGCAGTATCTGTAGATAATAACTTAGGGAGCATCGAGTTTACATTTCTACTCTTCAGTCAGAATTTGGGAAAGCTTTGACACTTCAGAACATTTTTGATCAGATAATCCCTTACAGCTTCACACTGCCTGAGTAGTTCTCACTGAAATTAAATAGTATTCTTTTGTTTCTTAACAGATGAGGAAAAAGAAAATAATAGAGCATCGAAACCACACTCAACTCCCGCTACTCTGCAATGGTAAGATGCCTTTGAAAAAAAACAGGGTGACCTGTTACAATCTTTCCTTATCTTTTTTTGAACGGAAGTGGATAGAGATCTTGGACATCTTATAGAATTTTAAAGATAGTTTTACTGTATGTATTTAATTTGCTCATTAGCATCCTATGTAATGCTTCTCAACAAATATCCTACTCTGATGAGATTTATTTGAATATAAGAGAGCTCTGATACAGTTTAGAAAACCCAGTTGCCATATTTGCTTGTCACCTTGCCAGTTGGTAATTTGTGGTTCATCTTCTTTGTTGTACTTACTACAAAAAGAAAACTAATACAGAGAATTTTGCTTGAGACATGTGATTGCTTCAGTGTGTGACGATGTCTACCTTTTCTGACTGTTTTACTAAAATGAAATCTTAGACATTAGCACAGAAGATGACAAGTGATCGATCATTTTCCAGGAGGTTCTTCTATCTGGCAGAACAGAGATCTGTTACAGAGAAGTCTGCCAAGCCTCAGAGCATGCTATCTGAAATCTCATGCTCCTTAGATTGCTTTAAATCTTTTGAAGGCAGGTCTTTGCATCACCTGTAGGTAGTTCTTTTAGGATTAGATTGGTGGGTTTTTTTGCTTTTAAGAGAATGTTAGAAAAATGATTTTTTTTCTTCTGTGAACCTCTTGGGAAACCTAACAGAATAAATAGCAAAGAATAAACCAATCAGTTCATGAGATTCAGACAATTCCATTTACGTTCTCTTTAAAGTTAATCAGTTAAATTTTAGATTTCAAAAAACCAAAATCTGTAGGAGGATTCATAATAAGTTGCTGCAAATATTCAATATTTTGCCTTTCTGAATTTGCAGACACTTTCAGTGCAAATAGTGAGATATGTAAATATAAATAAAGGCTCTTAGTTCTGAATGATTACTTCTTTTTGCATATTTGTACAACCAAGATGCTTTCAGAAGCTTTGGAAATGTGAATAAAGAAGGGGAGTGACTATAGAGAAAAAAATTAATAAAATAGTAGGGAAATTATGTAGATGTATTTTCTTATTTTCTATTATTCACGTGAGAATGATCTGGATAAAATGAAATAATAGCCATGGCTTACCAGTCCAAATTCAGAACAGAGTTTATTTTGCAGCAGATTCAGTGAAGAGTCTTTTCCACAGGAGCAGATAGCATAGTAGCCAAGAAGTCAGAGTTCATCAGAACATGCCAGTGATATGTTCCCAACAGAAAACATGCAAATACTCTTAACGGTCTTTTGCCAGATACTTTCAAGCTTCCTCAGTCATAAAGATTAGCAAATCCCTAAACTCCTGGGATATTGAGCCCTGCTGGAATGTGGGGCAAACACTAATACTCATTCAGCAGTTTTTGCAATAGAATGCCAGAATTTTGGGCAAAGAAAAAAGAAAATCTGCTTACGTCATCTTCCCTTCCCCTTTGCTAGTGGATTGGCTTACTACCTGCCTGTTGTGTAATGCTTCCTACACTTTTTGGTAGGTTAGAAATTGTCCCTTTTGAGACTTATGGAGCATCTGCAATATCCTTCATTCCATTTTCCATTCAAAACACATGAGGAAACAGAAATCACTGACATTTTCAAGTTTAACTTCTTTAGCTAATGTCAAACTGAATAATATGATTTACTCACTTGTTAATAGACCTACAGGTAATAGCTTGCCAGCTTAGTAGCTGTCTCATATGAAAGTTTTTTCTTGGCTTCGATACAGTTTTCTGTCTCAGTACTGCAGCTTTGAATTGGGGTTGCCTGGAGAAACCATGCTTCTGCATTTCTTACATTAAAATAAAGTTAGAAGCTCAAACATTGTGATCAAAATGCTATAAAGCAGAAAGCTTGTTTTGGGAGTGAAGATGTTTCCAGCCAGACACATTACCATCAGGTTATTTGTACTGTGGTAGCACATAGCAACCCATAGGTTGGTAAATGATTGTGGTCAGCACTGTGCAAAAGCTGCACTGATTGTTTCCCACAGGTTTGGCCCTACTTGTTCGACAGTTTTGCCTGCTCAGGGCTCAAATCAAGTTTTTGCACAGTCAGAAAAGATGAAAAATGAAATTTACCTGAATATGCCTCGAGTAAGCATGCATCCTACCTTCTTGCAGGAATCTCTAAGCAAGATTCAAGTGCTAGAAGTTCTGGGATAACTTACTGCCTAGATTCCAAGGGCAAGGTACTGAAATTATCTTGCTCTGGCAAATGGAAGCACCACCTAAGTCTCCTGTCTCTGTTTTTTACTGTAAGGTGCTACTATCATTCATAAATAATGGAGTCATGGGAGCAGTGGAGAAAAGAAACAGAGGAAATGTCAGTAGCAAGGAAAAAGAAGGAAAGTGGCAGGGAAAGTGAAGCAAATCGTAAGAGAAATATGTAATTTTTGTCATATTATTCGTATTGACTTTGCTTTTATTATTTATTTCTTGTCCGACATCTTAGTGAAAAGAGAGAACGCCAATCCCATGGGGATCTATCTGTAATGTTTATGCCTCTCCAAATGGGAAGTACACTGAACACTATAAAAGAGGAGAAGATCTAGCTGAGGATTTAGAAGTGTGTCTGGCTGACTGTCAGCCTGGCTAGATATCTTTCCTGGAAATAAGAATGATGTTTTTTTGCTTCGTTTAGTTTGGCTGATGACACAAAATGAAGTGAAAGGCCAGGTAAATGCAGTCATTCTGCCAAATTATCGTCCAGGAACATGCACCAGCCTAAATGTTAACTGTTAAGGCATGAAGATTCAAATACCTAGTATTCTGTTCTTCTCTCTTGTTCCTGTGTTCATAATTATCTGCATAGCTACAGCTTGCTAAGTAGTCTTCTCAAACATTTGCCCTTATTTCCCTGGCGAGCTGGTTGACCAAACTGTAGTGTAATTTCACTTCGATTTGGGGTGTGTGTGTGTCTAATTCTCTCAACACTGAATTATCAAAAGCCAAGACAGCTCAAGTCCATGCAGTTTGGTGGCTTACAATTATTTGGTGAACAAAATAATAACAATGTTGTGACGGTGAAACAAACAAAAAATTATTGCATTTTCTACGACATGCCAAAAAAGAACAGAAAAAGAAAAAAGTAAAGCACACTTTAGTCAATGGATTCTCCCAAGATTAGCAGTTTTACAGAAACAGTTATAATACCTCAAATTATCTATTCCAGCATCCTTTGTGTAATTAGAAATGATAACATCACAGCTATTCTGTTGCCTTCCAACCTAGAAACAAGACTACACTATGAACACAACTCTGATATATAATAATGTCGTTTATTCTAGAAGTATGTAAATATAAAGGGGGGAACACTAATAGAGACAGGTAAAATTGTCACTACTGTGGAAGGATTTAGGGGTTTTCTTGCTATACTGTAGTGGTACAAAAGGTCTTACTGTGAACTACTGGATTTCATGCGGCTTTATTGGGGCACTTAAAATGTTATATATACATTATTTCTGATAGAAATTTGTTAGGTAGCAGGTTGAGTTCATTATCTTCCTACGACACTGCAGAATGAGGCTGAATTCAAAACATGATAAAGTTGTTACATAAAAGACAGGAAAATAAAAGAAGTGGAGCAAGATGGGGTTTTGATCATTAAAAAAAAAAGTTCAGGTATAATGGAGCATTGTTCGGTGTCAGACTAATGATTCTCTGTGAAAGAGAGGAGAAAAAGAGAAAAATTCATCAGATATGAGCAGAAATAATTAACTGCTTTTCTTTCTGTCCTGTCTTGGTCACGGAAGCTGACATTCCAATTAGCAGCTATAGTATACAAACGAACTCTCCAGGTTTTGAAAGAGGGTTTTGTTAAAGCGCTATGAATTTGAGGAAAGATGCCGTGATGATATTCCTGTAGAAACCAAGGAAGAATAGATGTTGCCCATACAAACTGATTCCATTCATCTGGCCGGATATCTTATTAAAATAGTTTGCAGTCACAAATGATTGTGATAACTGAAATGGAAGGAGGATAAGACCTGGAAGAGGCAACGAAAGAGTGAAACTAGATATTTGAAAAGGTATTGTACAGTTATCATATGAGAGGGGCCTATTTACTGTAAAACTGAAGGTTTCTGAGAATATACTTATTTTATAGTTTAAGAAGAAGTTTCTTCTCACAGCCAGCAAGGCAGATGAGCACACTTGCAATTTAAAAGAACAAGTGTGCTACCATGGGTGACAAGATTGGGTTTTAAAGTTGTGCGTATGTAAAGAGCTCTTCAAATTCTTTGGGTCAGCAATCATAAGAATATGATTTCAAGATAAATATTTTTCTAATCTATCGATTGGCAGTGGCTACGATTCCATATTTTAAACACTAAGCAGTTGCTCATTCATGTATGTGATGCATAATTAGAATGTAATGGTTGTATCTGTGTGTGTAAGTGAGTTACTATAGTTTCTACAATGCAAAGGAGGATGGTATTTCACTACTGCATTCAGCAGATCATGGACTCTTGTTTTCTTCTCTTAATCAATCAACAATAGCAAGAATTTATTCTACAGATATAGTTTTATGCACATCTGTTGGTGTTTGCAAACAAATTGTTTCAGCCGCGCTTGCTTCCTCCAGGTAAGGAATTCTGTAGATGGACAGGAATGAAAAGATGTCATGAACCAATGGTGACTGTCCTGTAAAAATGAGGAAATGCTGCCTATCACCCAGTGTTTGGTTTCGTTCAACAGGCGTTATGTGATAATATGTATTTAAAAAAAAATAGTACTTTGGAACATGACCACAGAATAATATTCCTTTGTGCAAATCTCCTGTTGACTCTAAGAACTCACAATCTACGTATTTGATCGAAAGCAGAAAGCAAATTATAAGCAAGCTTTGTCATTGGACTCTGTACTTAAGAACGAAACAGAGAAAACTGACTAGAAAAGCAGAGGCTGTAGTGTTTGGTCTTAAAGATGCAGCTTTGCACACAGTTCACCATACAGGACATCCAACATACTTGCAGTGCTCTCTGTTTGATACTTGCTTTTTAAGGCTGGAGGAGAACTACGAGATTGCGGAAGGTGTTTGCATTCCTCGAAGTGCTCTCTACATGCATTACTTGGACTTCTGTGAGAAAAATGACACGCAACCTGTTAATGCCGCCAGCTTTGGAAAGGTGAGTCTAAACAGCACTGTGATACCTCGAGCTCTCACCTGGTTCAGGTGAATTTGGGTTAAAGAAAAAGTAAAATTGTCATTTACTGCTAGAGATATTGATGTATTTATAAAACATCTTACGATTCAGATTACAAAGCAAAGGTTAAGATTTTAAGTATTTGGAAAGTTGGAATCAGTTCTCATCATGACTAAGCTGCAGAATATACTACTTTTTTGATTATTTCAGCATCAGTGTTGCCAGCCTATCTGACAGTTATGTTATACAGTATTGGCAGCTTGGAAGTCAACTACGATCCAGTCTAAGCATTGTGACCTGTAGTGCTTTAATAAATGTACATTTAAAACAAAAACAAACAAACAAAAAAACAAACCCAGAAGGGTTAAGTATCAATAATTTAATTCTGGGTCTATTGTTGCCATTCTTGTAAGCATAGTGTACAGATCCTTGAATTAAGAATATTAGAACACACTGGCAAATCCATGGTGGAGAAAGTACAGTGCCTCTGGATGTCCAAATCCCAAAAGCATCCAAAGCGTCTGTGGGACTCTGCACATGCAGACTGCCCACATATCTTCACACTGCAGTTCCTTGTGCTTCTGCTTTCCAGGCCAGATTTTAAGAGTCACTGTGCTTATTTCCAGCCTGAAGTGGAGACACAGTCTGTACAGATGCAGCAGTGCATGGCACAGGTGTGAGCAGTAAAGGGTTATGCTGTACCTCACTATAAGACATTATCAAGTGGCTAAGATGTCACAAATGTCTTATTTTGGAATTTCTGATAAGATGATGTTTTCTCTGTGAAAAATAGGATGGTATTTTATATTTTTCATTTTTTTTTAATCTAAGACCATGTTTTTACTCTCCAGTGTGTCACAGGTTTTTACAACTCATCTCTAGACTAAATGTAGAGTTCACCACTGTTTTCGAAATGCTTACAAGCATGAATCTGAAGCCTTCTTCTAGTGTTCACAACATTTATTCCATAAAAATGCTGCTTATTCAAAGAGGGAATGTGTTCCTAGGGTATGTGCCTGTGAAAAGAGTAGGCAAAGGAGAAGAACGTATTTAATGAGGTGCCATTTTCTGTAGTGCATCTTTATGTTGGCAGTTGAGCAAGCTAAGTAAAATGTACCATATTTTAATATTACAATGTCTGTCACATCATAAAGACCTGCATAGCTCTGTTGATTCCATGTTACATTTCTTTCTAAAACACTGCATATTATGAATGGAATTTTATGTATTATTACTACCTACTGTTAAGTGAACTCAGAACATGTAATTTTTGAATAGTGAGAACAAGAAACAGGCTTCATGCAGGCCTACACATTTGGGATGTAGGTAGAATTTACACGATGCTATTTTGCTGCTACTGAAAACTTCCCTAAATTGTAAGGAGTGCATAATCTGTGATTATTTCATCACAACATAATTTCACCAACATGCAGCAGTCCAGTTGTCGTGTACTACTCTATCCTTCTCTCTGCCTTCATACATATGCACTTTATCAATAGGGCAGTAGGGTGATCTTGGCCTAACAGGACAGGTACAGTATCTTCCATCTAAAAATCAAGGTATTCTTTTTTTAATTTTTTTTTTTTTTTTTTTTTTTCCCCATATGCTGCTTTCTATTTAGCTGTAGTAGAGTTAGTTCTGAGACAGTGATCCACAATGTTTGTTTTTCCTTTTTGTGGAGATGAACCTGTATAGAATTCTCCCAGTACTATCGTAAAACAATGTTTTGTATGGCCATTTTGGATCTGGAAACTGTGGCTTCTGTATAGATGTGTCCAGGAATCTTAGACAAAACTGACATGAATATTGAAAAAGATCAGGCCTCTGAATATGCAGAATCCAGAGTGACCTCAGTGCCTCTGTGAGACCTGTTATTGCTAAAAAAAAATGCCTTTCATAGTCATGATGATTGATGATCTGCAAGGCACGCACACACTTCATGTAGTCAATAATTTGCAATCTGATTCTTCTTAGATGAAGGTACACAAATGGAGTTTTAGCCAACAGAGATGTGTTGTAGCTTAACCTGGCCAGGTGGCTGAGCACCACGCAGTTGTTTGCTGACTCTCCCCTTTCACAGTGGGATGGCAGAGAGAACATAAAAAAACCAACATGATAGAACTCCTGAGTTGAGATAAAACTATTTACTAAGAGAAAAGGAAAAGAATAATAATGATGACATACATATATATATATATACACACTTATAAATGTATATAACAAGTGATGCCCAAGCAATTACTCACTACTCTCCAACTGATGCCCAACTAGCCCCCTGAGCAGCAGAAGAGAGACAGAGATATGAATGCCCACCCCCCTTCAAAACTCCTTCCACATGATCCCATATGGCATAGAATATCTCTTCGGCCATTTTAAGTCAGCTGCTCTAATTGTCTTCCCTCTCAGCTGCTTTGATCCTTCGCTGCAAATGGCCTTGGCTCTGTGCATCACTGCTCAGCCACAACTATAAACATCAGTGTGTTATCAACATTGCTTTTCTCCTGGAACCAAAACATAGCATCATACCAGACACTCTGAAGAAAATAATTCTATCCCAGCTGAAACTATGACAAATTGTTATCATGTGACTTAAACACCATATTGGCAGTGCGTGCTACAGTGACTTGGAGGCAGAGCAGGGAAATAGGTGCTATCTGAGGACCTCTGCACTTAGCTGCTGAAATAGTGACCCCAGACATGTTCATCCTCATTGGGAACCATGAAGAGGCCTGCAGCTGTCATCTTCTGCGGAGAAAGGAGTTAGTTGTTCTGTGAAATTGTAGACAGTTCGCCTTTCAAGATTAAATTTATGATTCATCTTTGAACTTTAACTCTGTGGGCAATGTTAAACATTTAGACATTTCCTTCAACAGACTGATAGTATTCGGAAAGAGACATGGAGTTCAGCACATGAAAACAATCTGTAAGAAGGAACATCCTAATGCATTGTTACTCAGTTAAATCTGAATTAACCCAGCAGAGTTAATTTCATTTTTAAAGAGACTGCCTGAGACAAGAAACTTGCCTGCAAATGATTTCTCCAGGTTAAGATTTTGTGGGCAGTGTTTCAGCCTGCTTATTGCTTAACCTTAATGCAAGTGAAATATTCCACAACAAAGCATAGAAGGGGACACAGATGGATTGTTCATGATCAGCTGAACTAATAGACCTTGTTTCTTACAATTTCATATGTTCCCTAAATCCAGAGCTGTACTTAAGTCTTCTGTATCTCCATGTTTCCCTACAGTACTTCCAATTATTTTCAGGTCCCGGTCACTGTTTGGAGGTCTTTCTTTTTCCAGTTTTCTTACATACTTGCTGCACCTTCCTCCTCTGTTATTTTTAGATTCCCTCATGTCTATTTGTCTGTGTGCCTCTCTTTCTCTCCTCCCTCTCCCCAGGCAGCTGGGCGAGTAGTAGTCCATAGGTTGGCTGATTGAGAGCAATGGCAGAGTTGACTCCCTGCCTCATACTCGTAGTTCTCCAGAAAAGCAGTGCCAGATGGCTCACCTAAAGGTTCATCTTTCTCCCCTGTATTGTCTTTGACCCACAGAATCATTAAGGTGGGAAAAAAAACACTGAGATCTTCTAGTCCAATTGTCAACCTGTCATCTTCAGCCTTAATTTCAATTTGCTATCCCCATTATCCAGCCAGGGTTTCTTACTGCATGTCTAAGACATGGACTGCACCATAGGCATTTGGTAACACTGGATTAGTGGCACAAAACTTGCTCTGAGAAACAGTGAGGAGGAGAGACTTACGGAGAGACAGTAATACCTCACTGACTGTTTCCTTAGGAAATCTGACTAATAGCAAGAAAAGTACTCAGAGGAAAAAAAGCAGAATTGTTGTATAAATAAACACCATTTAAAAAGTAACCTGCACTCCTAAACCACTTAAAGTACATATAAAACAAGGAAGATTCTATTGGCCGTTGATACAATAATATTATGTGGCAAAGGAAACTGTAGCTTTAATATGTTAGCCAAGTATTTTAGTTCTTTACTTAACCAAGTAATGTGTGAAATTACAGCCAGTTCTGTCCGTACTAACCTTTGCCGATGTTTAAATAGCTACATTACCTGGTTTATTGTTACAGAACGGATTAAGATTCTTCCTGCTGGAAGTTCTGCCACTGCCTGTAGATGGGAGGGCTGAGCAGGTGTATGTTTTTGTCCGAGCAACACATTAACATAAAATATTAGTGATCATTAATAATATTAGTGATCGTTAATACACTGAGCATGAATTACCCAGGAACTGTTGCTGATGGATTGGTTTTGTAAGACTTCTTGGTTCTGTCCTAGCTGCGCCAACTCAGGTCCAAGTGGTAAGTCCTTGAGCTTCTCTTATGCTTTTGTTTCCTCAGCCAACACTGATTTTTGTTGTTTTTCTTGTGACTCTTTATGAGCCTTCTGTGTCTTAATAGAACCTCTTGAAGACGTAATCTTCCCTTACACACCAGTTTTCCCTAACTCACAGTTCTCAGTTCACTGCTTCAAGTTTACCGCGTAGCACTGTTACCTGCATATTTCTCATACAGATCACTTAAGAAAGCTTAATTTTTCATGGCGCAACCTTTCCTTTGCATCCTAGTGTATTTCCCATAACTCCCATATGCCCCCTGGAGGTTAAATAATTTCCTCTTTTGTTCTTTTGTTTTTGTTTTCTGCCTTGTCTTTTGACAAGTAGTAGTACATTGATATTTGAAAAGAAAATGAAAGAAAAATGCTGACAGTCTGTGGGCTGCTTCTTCCTCAGCCTTAGGTCCTTTTGCAATGTGGATGCACGCTTACCTGAATCTCAGAGCCACCTCATTGCTCTCTGAATGGCTTTGCTGTAAGTTTATTTTGATAAATAGAGAAGGAAGGGGTCCACAACAGATTTATAATGTTGGTTAGGAAAGATCTTTTACTTTTTTGAAAAATAATGGGCTGAGACACAGTTACACTAGCAAAAAAAAAAAAAGGTTTCAATACAG